TTAATTATCTTAAAGATAACTCGTCCAGCTCAAACCTTTGTAGGGGTAAGAGGTGGGACCATCATCATCATCATCATCATCATCATCATCATCATCATCATCAGATAGCTGTGGAAGCACCGCACCCGCGGCATTGTTGGATGCGTCGATCATTAAGGCTAATGGTTTATTCGAATCAGGATAATGCAAGAGCGCGGAATTCGCCAACGACTTTTTGCATAGCTCAAAAGCTGCTTAGCTTATCAGCTGGTATCGTTCTTTTTATTGTCAGGTATCAGTTTTCGTAATTCTAATTGCATATCGACTGCCCTTGGAATGAACCGCTTGTAAACATCAACTAATGCCAAGAACCTGCGTAGGTCTTTAACGGTCGATGGACGTGTGTACTCGAGAACAGCTTGAACTCTCGATGGAAGCGGTTGTACGCCTTTGCTGCTCACCAAATATCCAAGGAATTCAAATTGAGGCTGTGCAAAATTGCATTTGGAAACATTGATCATCATACCATACTGCTTTAATCGATCAAAAACAATTCGCACGTGTACCATATGCTGTTCAAACGACGTCGATGCAATACAGACGTCATCGATAAAAACAACTACGAAGTCTAGATCACCAAAAATTTTATTCATGAAACCCCTCCTTTTTTCCTTTATTTCACGTCGGTCTTTGTTCCACAATCTAGTGCCAATCACCGACGGACATCCATTGCCATCCATTGACGTCAATCGAATGTGCAGGAAGGCAGCTTCCACACCAGCGTAGGATATCGCACCCATTCAAACACATATGAACCGGGACTAACGGCTTTACTTCCCTTCTGAGGAAGACGTGACCAGCGGTTTTTATGCCTCAGAAAAATCCCACCGACCTCGGCTGGGATTGAACCCAGACCCATTGGGGTAAGAAAGCAGTCACGCTTACCACGATTGGCTTGCGTTGCATAAGCCGAATTTCATTCGGGTCAACTCATACATCCCGAACGGAGTAATCACAGCTGTTTTGGGGATGTCAGCCGTTTCAACAGGTATCTGGTGATAAGCCCTTTGCAAATCTAAGGTAGTGAAAATTATCTTACCTTGAAGTGAGTTGAGCAAATCGTGCACGTGAGGTACGGGATAGCGATCCGGAACGGTGACCTTGTTCAGCAGTCGATATAGTCCCCAACGAACCTCCACTGTCCGTTCTTTTTTGGGATGCAGTGCAGCGGACTAGCCCGGCTGCTGCTAGACAGTATGCAGATACCTAGTTCCGACATCAACGCGAATTCTTCTTTTGCTGCTTTCAACTTGTCTGGGTGCATTCTCTTCATTTTCGTTGCAACCGGAGGACCCTTGGTTACAATGTGGTGCGAGACATCATGTCGAATAACCGCTTGCAACGTTTCCTGGAGTGTTATTTGCCGATATTCCATTAGCAGCTCGTGGAATGGATGATTCAGATTAACTGTAGTGATGCTGTGGATGTTTGTGGTCATCATGTCACCAGTGGACTGCAGGTTGGTCTTGGCATCGGCTAGCCTCCTGTTTCTAAGGTCGACTTGCAATCCGAAGTGTGCCAAAAAATCGGCACCGATTATCACGTGGCTGACATCGGACACCAAAAAGTTCCACGTGAAGCGTCTTCTTAAACCCAGGTCGGTTGAAATGAACTTTGATGAATTTGTTTTTATTCCCGAACCATTTGCCGCATGGAGCACGAAAGGCATTGGTCCTGAAAGTTTTTCTTTTCTCGTTGCTGGTACTATCGACACGTCGGAACCCGTATCGATTAAGGCTCTGAACCATTTGGTGGATTATTTTAACTTTTGGTTAAAATTTGACAGATGGAAAGTTATCGATTAACCCTGCTATCCGAGCGTGGTTATTTCTGACAGACAAAAAGTTAAATTTTGACGACCGTGGCTCGAAAACCGGTCGATCGACAGCACGGGGATTTTCGAACATAAGAAATAACTTTCGAAATGTCACTTTTAACTACGAGTTAAATTTAACTCGGCAAATGGTTCACAGCCTAAGAAGCAAAGTCCACTCGTTTTATTAAATAACTTGAGCCGCCGGCTAGTAAAAGCTCCACCTACCTCCACCGACTAGGTGAGCAGATTTTTAGTTTTTTGGTTCCTTGTAATAACATGCTTGCTTGCATCGCTGGGTTTGGCGGCCGTATTTACGATGATACCAGCAGGTTTCGTTCTCCATCCTGGACCGTGATGCCGAACGACTACGACGACCATCAGAACCACTTCTGATGCGACGAAATTCGGTGCTGAGTGTTTCTAGTTGCTCTTTTACCGGGTGAATCTGATCATCTGCCCCAGCCGAGGTGGAAACAACTGGGACGTGGGGTGATTCCATCATTTTGTCGGCCATCTCGGCCAGTTTTGTCAAGGTTCCATCGCTAATTGTCAGAATCGGTCGAACGTGCGGTGGCATACGTTGAACGAATAGCATTTTGAGGTCATTGTAATTTATAATCAAGCCGGTGGCCAATTCTTGCATTTTAGTCAAAAGATGCGTTGGGCACATGTCGCCAAGATCAGTAGACCCGAGGAGCCGTTCCAAGCGGGCTTCTGGCGAGAACGTGAATTGGGCAATCAAGCGATCATTTACCGCCTTATATTTCTCCTGCTGCGGTGGATTCGAGACCAAGTCAGCAATGTGGCAAATTATTGACTGATCCACCTTTGCCACTATGTGGTAAAATTTGGTTTCATCGTTTGTTACGTTCCCGAGGATGAATTGACCACTTTGTCAAGCAGTTTTGACGTGACTTTCTACCAGCGATTTCAAGGAACCAACTATTTTCTATTTTTTTTTATGAAACGCACAAATGTTGGCGACTTTTCTAGTTGTTCTAGAAGAAAAAATCTCAAAATAATGTTTTATTTCAAAGTTCCAGGGGTATAAAACGTCATTTTAACTGCTCGAATGAAATTGCGCTTCCGTCTGCGCGAACCACATTTCCGGATCTGTTTACCAGAATTTCGGAGGTTTGACGGAAACAAACGCTGCCTGCTGATTTTCGTTTGGCGACATTTTGAGGTTAGGAAACCGAAGCCGACGGAAAATTCGACCGGATGTTTACGAACTCCGTATGAGCGGGTTTCCGAGATGTCGCGATATCACGTCAGGGTCACCGTGGCGAACGGATGCGAATGGAATCGAATGAACACGTCTGTGATTAATAATAACTTCCTTTTATTCACTGCAAATTATGCGGTTGTTCTTCTATACTCTCTATGGTCAAACGAATGACTTCTTCTCTCTTCCTCGCTTCTTCTCATGACGTTTCTCCATAAGGGCGCGTCAACAATTACGTCACATACTTTTTTATTCAGAAATCCGGATGTTGTATATTCGATTGTCCCAGCAGTACTTAATTATAAACAAATTCGTATGTACATAAACGAGGTGTTAAGTATCAAATCAAACTAAAAAATGGTAAGAAATCGCAAGTAACGGCCAAACATCAATATCAATATCAAATTGAACCGTTCTACAGAACTCAGCAACGAAAACGTGTAAGCACAGCTGATTGGCGGTTTTCTCCACTTATGGGAAACATATTTCCCCGCCGCTCTCGCTAATGAGTGCAGTACACGCCATGTACTTATTTCATTCAATTAGCAAAGTGTTGATCGCGTCTATAAACTACGAATGACAAAATCAGTTCACGTACATACCTTTGCAGGTATGTAGGTGTAGACGGGGCAAGATCGCCACCCGGGGCAAGAGGAGTTGAAGGGTTTACAACATAAATCTTATATTTTTGAAAACTGCACTTACGTACCTTTCAACAATGATTCTAGGATGTAGCGTTGCAACGTGCCGACCGAAAAAAAATCCTCTCTTCCACTCACTTGCTAGATTAGATGATATAATGATATGTTGTACTTGCAAGTAACAAGAACAGGGTGTAACGTGTGTGTCTGATTATCATCGATCTCACGAGTGAGCGCTCACGAATCATCAAATCGCTGACTGTGACGCACCGAAAGCAATATTGACAGGTTGTAGTATCAAACACACACTTCACGACTTCCTCTTGTAACTTACAAGTACTGATTACCATTATAAGATCTAACGACCTCAAAATTACGAAAAATAACCTTCTACAGCAAGTGAGTGGAAGCAACCCTGCTTTGTAATAATTAATCTATACGTTCAATTAATGTTTCAACCTGGTGCTGGTATTTTATTTTAATAAACTAAGGAATATAATCCTTTAAAAACTTAAAAATATAAAAACAATTTCTGCTATGGGTGCATGTCTTCCCGCCCAGGGATGCTCATCTTGCCCCGGGGTGCCTGAGACCGGTGTTAGAAAGTTACTTTTTTAATTTCTTTTTAAACAATCCAAAATTTAATAGATACTTTGAAATGTATCAATGTGTAGGTGCTAGAACAGACATGACAAATCTAGCTTAGACAATGATTGACTGTATTAATTGCAATTATTACATACACACTAATCGAGTCAGTACGGTTTTACTGAGTTTTTGAATTGCGGAACTGTTCGGTAAAAGTTTAAAAATCTGTGTAAAATTTATTAATGAGAAAATTTGTTCTGAACTTGTACCTACTTAGTTCTGTTAACCCCATTTCATGATAGAAAATAAAATTGGTCGATTTCATTGATTCCTTACGGACAACGGTCATTTGAATTTTTACCGTCTTTTTCAGCAATTCAAAAACCCAGTAAAAAAATACTGACCCCTGTAAAAAAATCTTAGTGTGTATACACATTATATCAACCTTAGGGTGGCCATCTTGCCCCGTCTACCCCCTAGGTGCTGTTTACAACTCTTCCATGAATTGCTAAAATTGGCAGACAAACAATTAGCGCTGTAACTAATTTGGCAATCGACTAGGCACAGCGCGCGCAATCAAGTGAATTAGTAAACTCAAATTACAACACACACGTACACACACACACACACCCCGTTCGTCTTTGTTGAACTTAGTCGGACCAATCGCGAAAGGCAATTAAAACATTTAACTCGTTCCTATCGCACCAAAAAAAAATTTATTATATACTTTCCCACCTAACAATATCGATAACAAAAATATAGCATAATCAGTACAAAATGTGATATGGTTTCATGAATTGCAAGATTCTACAATAGCACCGAGCATCTAATCTACAACTTCTTCAAGAGCTTTGCCGCCTCCTCCTTGGCCTGCTTATCATCCTCGTTCAGCACCGTCACGTTGGCCGCCAACGAAAGATACTCCTTTGCCTTGTCATTCCTTTTAAGGGCCTGATTAGTTTTGCCCAACATCAGATGATTCATCGAGTAAAAGTTCGGCTTAGTTTGTTCGGCTTTCTCGAAGCACTCCAGCGCCTCCTCGTAGCTTCCCTCCGGAGGGGTAGCGAAGATCGTAGCGACAATTTTCCGCTGGTACCAGGGAAGATCGGCCAGACCGTAGTAGAACTGTCCCAGGATGTACCAACTGGTGGCGTCGGTTGGGTTCAGCTCCAAGGCGCGTTTCATGTGCTTCTTGACGTTCTCCAGCTGGGTGACACGTTCTTTGATGCCGTCCAGACCACTCTTGGTATCCAAGAGGATCGAGTACCACTTGTGCGAAGCGAAGTCGTTATCGTTCAGCGCTAGGGCTTCCGATGCAAACTGGAAACTTTCCCGGATCATCTGTTCCTTCTTGGGACTTGGAGTGCTCTTCGAGAGGTTGAACAGTGCACGAGCTGAGCGCCATTTGATCTCGTACGCTTCGGGGTTCTGGAATGGGAAAGTGGATTTATAATATAATTACATCTTCTCATCTATCGTATAAAAATGACCACTTCTAGTCTGTTATTTGAAACATAGCATCTTCGACTAAATATAATGATGGTTTTGGTGATTCTACTTTTTAAGTAAATTCACAAAACTTTTCAATAACAAATCGGCTGGAAGGCAGTAGTGTTTGACGCGGTTTTCAAGTTTGTCATTTAAGTGTGAACTCAGTGAATTTCGATCAAAAAGATAAAGAATTTTCTTGTCTGTAGCAAGTAGTTCGCGTTTGAAACCGCTGTGTAAATAGTGTTTCTAAATACAAAAAAGCTCGTTCAACGGTTTTGTTGTTGTACGGGCTGGAATTTTCGGCGAGTTCGGCATCCATCGTCGCCAGACCGTCTGGTTTCTTGTGGCGTCAATGTAATATCGATCAATGTAATAATGATGTAATAGCAAAAAGCAGATACAATATTACATCAACGCAAAATCGATGTTCATCGTACAACGTTATATTACACAACCGATGGATTGACCTGGTTGCAGCAGTTTGGATGTAATATTCAACAACTTTTTTTTCTGTGTAGGTAGTTAAACGGAGTGTCGTGAAGTCGCTAGTTTGATTAAGCGAAATTTTACCCGACGGTTGCCAAAATCCGTTGGTAGAGTCCCCATTACGCTACAACTCTGGGACCGTGACACTCGAGAGCTCGGACCGCAGAAGTACGAAGCCAATTGCGTACCTCGGTTCGGGTTTTAACCAAAGAGGGGGGAGATTTAATTTCATCTCGGGTGGTCATAGCGGAAACATAGTACACAGCAAAAAAATAATTTTGATATCACGTCAAAGTGGATGCACTACAATCATGTCGAAAATATGGTGTAATATTACTTGCTAAAAAGGACAAAATTATCATTAATACAATGCATGAACTGACATTACGCTGCTTTTACTGCATTTGTTTATTTATGTGGTCATAAAAATTACATGAAATTTTCGACATGATTGTAGTGCATCCACTTTGATGTGATATCAAAATTATTTTTTTGCTGTGTACGCAAAGCCGTGCGAATTCTCCTCCGCGGAGCGAATCTTCCGGGGAAAGCTCGACTCCGTCGATGCTAAGCTCTCTCGAAAGTAAATCGGAAGTCCAGCCACCACTACCTCCGCACCTTTAATTTCGGCCATACCGATATGCGGGTCATCTTTCGTCGCTGCACGCTATCCGCAGCTAGATCGGCGCCATTCCGAGACCGTCGCCATCATCACAGGTCGTCGGAAGGTCAACAGTCGCCATTGCCAGGACCTTGGCGATTGTTTTTTTGAACCGAGTTTAGTCCAACCCGAAATAATGTTGAAGAATGATGTGAAACTAGATTGAAATTTGAAGTTTTTCGTTGTGTTATTTATTTTTCCGTCACGATTTTTTAGCTGGCTCACTCGCCATGGAGTTCTTGGGCTCATTTTGGATTTGCATCAGACACATTCGGTCTAGCTTGGTTCATTAGGTTTAATGAAAATTGGGACTATAATTTGTGGACCTCTTTGAGATTACGGGTTTCCCTGATGGTGAATGGATCGTATAAAGGTGTTCCTCTGAGGATCAGTCTCTAAGTCGGGCAAAGCAAACACGACCGGTGGTCTCTCGTAAAGAGATTGGCGCTTAAGCCACCGAGTTTAACTTGAACCTCAAGGATTCTTCACGAATGGTTACATTACAAAAGTGCGAAACCGAACTTTTTGTCAGAACGAATCTCAACCTGCACGGTAAGAAAAAAGTACCCAAAATTGAGTTCCTTTCACTCATCACGTGGCTTCCGTGGGGCTAGGTAAAATTAAGTTAAAGAAGAAAATTCAATTTTGAGCAATCCTGATCGTTGATCAAGTTGACAAAAAAATAATAAAACGGAGCAGACTGGAACCGAACCATGGACGTTGAGATTACGGGGCCCGTGTGTTGACCACTCGTCTATCAACGCTTGTAAAACTGAAATGGTTAAAGGCGCATAAGAGCAACCTCAATGAAAATAAACTTATATTTGAGTTCATTTATCATTACTCAATAGTTGAGTAAATTTTAACCAACGCCGCTTTTCTGATTCACTCAACGGCAGACCTCAAATGATAGAACCCAAAGTTGAGTTTTTTAAAACTTAATTTTGAGTATTTTTTTCTTGCCCTGTGAGCTAGGTTTTTTTAAAAACAAACGAGCAAACTGACGTTTGTCAGAAAAAGAAGCAGTCCCAATCTTGATGCCCGATCCAGGTTGGAACTGAATAATAAACGAATTCGCTATAAGCATGCAACCATATCTAGATAGAGCTGGAATTAGGGTGTAACAGCTTTTGTAAACAATGACTTCTCTCGATAATTTCTAAGAACTCAATGCACGCCCACGCAAACCAACATAACCATCGGGTAGGAGAAGCACAGACAAACAGACGTAACATTTTGAAAAAGTTTATCTTGAAAACATAGTATATCAAAACATAGGTCCTCAGTAACGACATCTCTCTGGCTTCTCGCGGAAAACAAGCTTGCTCGCTAACTCGCAAACAATATTGCATACAAGTTCTATAGAATGTATAGAAACGTCAAAGTGATCCGATGCCAGCACTGCGTCGAGTAGTTCGCGGAACTGATAATATTCAAATCAACCGTTAAATGCGTGAACGAAGATACACAATAAAGAGTTACGTCTGTTTGTCTGTGGGGGAAGTCTTCTTCTACCCGATTAGGATGTTGGTTTGTGTGAGCGTGCCTTGAATTTCTAGAAATCATCGATAGAAGTCATTGTTTACAAAAGCTTTTTGGCCCTAATTCCAGCTCTATCTAGATATATCTGCTTTTAATTCATAAGAGCCAATGTCGCAAACGTGAACAACTACTTCTTCCGCGAATTTCGCGAGAATCTAAACTCACTCAAGTAAACCATCACGATGATTGTGTTATAGAGTTATACATATATGTTATAGATTGGCTTTGAACTACAAGAGGTTTACGACAGAAGCCATTGTTTATGTTTTCCACATTGGTCATTATGAACGTTCAGTGTCCAACTAAAATAGTTATACCAACCGGCGTAACTAATGGGGGTGCCAGGGGGGCCAGGCCCCCTCCAGAATTATCTGGGCCCCCTCCAGAATTGTTGGTGTTTGTTTTTGACTCACCGGTATTTTGTCAAGCTTGTTAAGTTCAAAGCTACTATTTAACAGTGATACAATTGGACCACCAACAAAGATTTTTTTAAGTCCTTTATGTTGATTACTTTTGTTATGTTCTGGACTAGAAGAAACAATTTTGAGAAATTATATTATATCAAATCGATGGCAATAAGACGTCTTCAGGATCTACAAACTATCCATGAGCCCAGGAATTTTTCTTTAACTTGTGGAAACTTCGTAAAAGTTCAAATAGAAGTTCAAGGAATTTGCAATAAATTCAGAGAACTTTGTAGAAGTTGAGGAAATTTTGTAAAACCTATGTTTTGTAGATGTTCAGGAAACGTTGCATAAGTTACAGGATATTCTTTCAAACATCCTTCCTAGACATCAGGAAATATTCGAAAGATTTCCATATAGTCCAAGATATTAGTAAAGTTCACTGGATATTTGGTAGGTTGTAGGTTGATCAGAAAGTATTCAAAAGTTTTCCAGCTAATGGAATCAGATGGAATCTTGAATGATGAATCTTGATTTACGGCCATATTTGTACATTATCTATAGGGAAGACCCGTGTCTTGGTGTTTTAGCTTGCACTCCAGCAGCTAAATTCTGTGCAGAGATTTCAATTTCTGCATATACCTAATATGTATAAATTTCTTTCGTTTCGATGAATTGTATGCCCGGAATTCAGCTGCAGGATAGTTTGCATGGATCAGTACATAAAAATTCCGTGCTTTTTGTTTGTATTTGTTGATTAAATAAATTACCTGAAAAAGTTCTTTTCTGTATAATGTACATGTAAATAATAAATTGATACCAAATGGGTTTAACCACAACTAACTAAATTTAAAAAAAATTAAAACATCCCAATTTTGTAAAAAAAAGTTAAATTACTATCTAGTTATAAGCAGGAATTCAATCATGCAAGTTTCGAGTGTATTCCTTTCGATTAGAAAAATAGTTAAATATTGATTTTGCTAGTTAGTTCAAAATTTTTTTTCACTTCAAATATCAGAATCATGACATTCAAAATCCAGTATCTTAAAAACCTGATGAAATTGAATTATAACCTGATTATTCACAATTTTTGCCACGAGTCAAGATTTTTCGAAATATTCGATTCCTATGTTTTTCTTACTTTCTTATATCGAACAATTTTTCTCTGGATAAATGCTGTGAGTCTCAGAATCAAAGTAAGTTTCCTAAGATCTTGAATTACGAATTTTGAAGACCAGGAGATTCAAAACTTGTCTAAGCCCATGATATGAAATTATTTATTATGTGGAGTTTTTTTTAACTCTTGATTAGGTCAAACATACTATTAGTATTAAAATTCTTATTTGTTTTTTATATTAATGTACTAGACTTTTGATGAAATGACTGTCCAGGAAGGATATTGCAATTTTATCTTAGTTATAAAAGTTAACGAATTTAGATCAATTATAAGATCTAAATTCGTTAACTTTTATTAACATTTGTATTCGAAGAATTTATGCTTACAATCTGTATCAAAGATATCCTTTTTTATTAGTTAAAAATCTTGAAAACATATGGGTTTGGGATCACAACACTATTTCTATTTTAACATTAACAATGTTAAGAATTGTGCATCTGAAGCATATGCATGTACGTAATAAGTGGATTTGTTGGTTATTTCGACGCTTTTTAACAATGCTTGAAATTTCCCAATTTTTAAATAATTTCTTGTTGAAAATCAGCAGCATTGCTATCAATGCGTAGAAATATTTCTGATCGATTGGTGATAAAATTATAGCAATTGGTCCAGGAGCAGCTGAGTTATTAACGTTCAAAATCTTTCATAATTTCGTTACATCTTCCAT